CAAAACAGGCATTGACTCTTTGTCAAGCCACAAACCTCTTTGCTGCCCAGAGTCCCGCAGTGTTTGGGTTGCTGCTTAATCACTTGCAAACAGCTTCTTTTTATTGAGTTAGTAATTGTAAGGGAGTTGTTTCCCTTGAGGCTGCTCTCTTCCCAGCTTAGCTACAGCCTTCACTGTGGAACCAAGGCAGTCCATCATGCCAGAGAGTCCCCTTTGGTATCTGCAGGGCTGGGGGAGTTAAAATGGCAGGTGAGCCCTGACATCGTTTTCTATTTTGGCTTCTTCACCCTACTGGCTCCTCTGTCAAGAGCCCCACAGACCCACCACCGTGACTCGGGTTCTTGCATTAAGAACCTGCAGGGAGGCCCAAGCATTTGGGGTTCCCTCCAGTTCCCATCCTCTCTTTTGAGTGGGATCTGTTGTTCCTTGAACCCTGCGATGAAAGCTGAAAACAACCGAGGCTGCCTGGCTTCCTTGCAAGGTCTTTTAAGACGGGAAATTCCTAAGCCTGCAACGAGTTCACTTGGTCACGGGTAGATCATGGGTCGGTGGGGGTGCAGCACCATTTGGTCACAGGCTGCGTGAAGGCAAGCAGGGAACAGCTGCGCGCTCGGGCAAGGGGATTTTGTTGCTTTTCTTCCTAAATAGATTTTAATTCTTCATATTTTCCTCCTTTGTAGCCTGCTTTTCCCTTGGCACAGGCGGCTTCTCCACCCCCAGGGCCCACCAGGCACGCGTGCATGGACAGTGAGGCAGGGGCACCCCCCGCCACATCCCTGTCCCACCCCAGGATCCAGTGGGATGGCAATGGCTCCCACTGAGCCCTCTCCAGCCACATCTGGAATGTGGGTACATCAGGCAGGGTGGCCATCATGGGCAACACTGTTTGTGCTGGGGGTACAGGGGGGAGGATGCCTGTGTGGGCTTCATGCCGCAGAGCTGAGCTGAAGAAGGCTCTTCCTTCAAGCCACAGCCAGCCGTGGGGACCAGCTCAAGGCATTAGTATTCCTGAGTGCCAATAAAATAATTAAACGGTCAAGGGTTTTCCTGGGCCTGGAGAGGAAACTCTTGCAAGCTGATTTTTCACTTCATTTAGCCATGCAACTGCTTTAGTGTTGGAAACCCTCAACGCTAAAAAGCTCGAAGCCTGGCTTTAGAAACACGGGGGTTTGCTTTTTGCGCCTGAGTGGCCCACAAGCTTGCTCTCCTGCCTGCCTGCTGCTTTCAGGAGCTGTGTTCTTGCAGGAGGATCCATCGCCAAAGCCTCTTTCCACCGCCTGGAGGGCTGAATGTGTTACCTCCATCAAAAGATGAACCTCCTGTTGAATGATGTAGCCCAAGGCTGGGCCTTGAGGTAAAGAAGCAGCCAAGCAATTAAACCGGGGAGAGCTGCCAAGGCTCGTCAGCTCCTCTGAGATCACCTGTAGCACGGGGTGAGCCAACCTGGCATCCCTGCGCAGAGGAGATGCTTTCCGGCGGCGTGCTGCAGCCCTCCTGGGGCTTATTTCGGGATTTATATTCCTGAGCTTGGCTTCGCAGGGTGGATGCAAACCACCTGCTCCGAGCCTGGAGGAGCGGGGGTGAGCTCCCACCTTCACGCGCCCCATACTGACCTGTGCTGAACGGGCGCCAA